CTCTCATATGTCATAAATGTGATATAGAAACAAAATAAATTACAATACCATATAAATGGCTAAGTTAATCCATGAACCTGTGACCCTCACAACGTGGCCCTAGCACCCTTTCAATAAGGGAGATTTGTTGATCTCCTAGAGAGTGAGAGGAAGAGAAGACGGGGGGCAGGGGGGGAGAGAGAGTGTGTGAGAGAGAGAGAGAGAGAGAAAGAGAGAGAGAGAGAGGAATCATAACCTTGCAAAAAATGATTTTTTTAGAACTCATTGTTCAAGGGCAGAAACAGGCAGATTACAATTCCATTTGAGAGCTGAATTCTCCCCAACTAAGGTGTTGGTCCTCACTGGGCAAGTAAGCAAAAGATATAAGCAGGGGGGGAATGGACAGAGAGGGGGAGCAAAGAAGAGACATTTTTTATAAAAACTGGACTATCTTCATTTTTTTTTATCAGTTTGGAGACCTGGATCACTCTTAGCACATGCAATTCTCTAGTCCTAGAGCACAGGAACAGTCTTGTGGAAAAAGCACTAGATTTGGAGTCAGAGGATCTGGGTTTAAATCCTAATTCTACAATTTACCCCTGTTTGAAATTGAATAAGTCACTAAATTTCTCTGGGACTCAGTCTCCTCATCTGGAAAAAGGAAGCTATTGAACTAATGCTAACACCAAAAAGGCAGTTAGGTTCCACAGTAGATAGAGAGCGAGGACAGGCATCAGGAAGACCTGAGTTAAATCCCCCCTCAGACAGTTATTGGCTGTGTGACCTTGAGCTAGTCATCTAACACTTCTCTCCCTCAGTTACTTCATCTTTCAGTGGAAAGAAAAATGGCACCTACCTCACGGGATTGTTGTGAGGATCAAATTACATAGCTGAAGCTTATTCATAAGACTAAAACCAGGGAGATTATTCTTGAACATTAGAGTTTGAGAAGACATTGGCTCATTTGCCATATTCAAGGAGTCCATTTGGAAATCTCTGTCTTGTGTTAGTTTAGTTCCATTTAGATACCAGGATTGTACCACAGAACATCAGGCCTGGAGTCAAGAAGACATGAGTTCAAATCCAGCCTCAGATATTTACTAGCTCTGTGACCTTGGGCAAGTCATTTAACCTCTGTTTGCCTCAGTTTCTTCATCTGTGAAATGAGGATAACAGCAGCTACCTCCCAGGGTTGTTATGAGGATCAAATGAGATAATTTAACAGTGTCTGGCACAAAGTATGCACTATAGAAATGTTAGCTATTACTATTACTACTTAACCTTTGTTTGCCTCAGGTTCCTCATCTGCAAAATGGGAATAATAATAGCACTTACCTCCCAGAGTTGTTGTGAGTATCAAATGAGATAATAAGTGTAAAGTGCTTGGCATAGTACCTGACATATAATATATACTATATAAATGGTGGTGGCTGTTTATGTTGTTGTTGCTAATTATTTTTGCTTTCTGGATGCCATGTTTGAGAAAGGATATTGATGTTCCAAAAAGTAAACAGAGAGAGTCAAGAATGCTGAGGGCTCTCTGAGTTTTGGCTGTAGGAACTGGAGTTAGCCTAGAGAAGAAAAGACAGTAGTTGGGTGAATAGAATGAGAAGTAATAGCTGCCTTCATAGATTAGAAAAGAGAATCTAACTTGTTTTTTCTTGGCTTCAGACCAGGATGAGGAATACTGAGTGAAAATAGCCAAGCGGCAAATGCTGGATCAGTATAAGGAACAATCTCCTGAAAACTAGAACAGTCCAAAAGTGGGATGGGTTGCTTCTACCAAGGAAGGCTGAAGGTTGAAGGATAATAAGAAAGGTTTGGAACAATCTCTGGGCAAACAGCGTGAGGGACTTGGTGTTTGATGAGTGAGAAGGATTGCTGAGCAGCAGGAATCAAATGTCTGGAATTTGCTGCAGACCCACGCCATTAAATTGTACGGCTTCCATCCCCCAGCAGTGGGAGTAGGAGTAGAGGAAGCAATGGTGAGAAATTGCCAGCATTGTGGAGAAGTGAGACGGTTGTGACAAAGGTCAACAGGGAGAAAGATTCTAGGCTGTTCAAGGCATTGTAGTGTTGCATCAAGAATGCTGGATTTGGCTTCAGAAGACCAGCATTTAAATCCTTGCTTTATAATTAATTAGTGACCTTGGACCAGGCATTTACCCCCCCCCACTGGGCCTCAGTTTCCTCATCAGTAAAATGAGAGGGTTGGGCCAGATATCCTCAAAGGTCCCTTCCAGTTCTAAATCTATGATGTTTTGAGCACATTTGAATCAACAGATAATGATAGTAGGCACAGGAAGCCAGAAGAGGGCTAATTGATGAGAAGAATAGGGAAGGATGGAAGGATTAATGGTCATGATCAAATTAAAAAGCAACTTCAGCAGGAGTAGGTGACGGTATTCAAAGTCAAATAAATGCACAAGCAAAAGAAAAAAGTGAGGTGGGGAGCAAAGTAGATAGACGGGCACAAAACATGTTTGGGAATCAGAAAGGAAACCGATTTGGCTGAAGTCGGCAGAATGGCAAGGCAGAAGTAGCTGGAGGGTTACATGCAGCTCCCAACCCACCAGAGTGTGGCCCGAGCCAGATTAAAATGTAATTGGGAAATATTTAACAAAATCAATAAAAATACAATAAAAAATCATTCGTATGAATATGCAGTTTTCTAAGTTAAAATGCAGCCCCAGGGATCCTTCTGTAGTTTGGTGGCCCTGTTGCTATTTGACATCAGAGGCATAAGGGGCTCACAAAGAAAGAGTGATTAGTAACTCCCATTTCTGATTATGCTATGCAAACCTTCTGGTCATATCAACACTGAGGATCCAGTAGAATCAGTAACAGGATCAGAGATTAGAACTGAGAGGACCTTCTTAGTCCAAATGCATCATTCTAGAGGTGAAGAAATGAAGGGTCCCGGATGTCCAAATTTCCCCAGGTAAAAAAATTACTGAGCCAAGATTTGAACCCAGGTCCTTCTGAATTCAAATCCGGCACAAACTCGATTAAGAGACTGTAGTTAAAGGACTTTGCAGGAGCTGAGATCTTAGAGATGGAGGAGGTCTTACCTGAACTCCATATTGAAGGATAGATAGAATTTGGACAGAAAGAGAAAAGAAGTGACATCATTCTCGGTAAGGGGTATGAGATAAGCCAAGAAAAGAAGGAGGGAAGTACAATAAATAATCCAAGGATAGTAAATAAATTAACTTGGAGTTGTGTAGGAAACTAGGGAGAGAGGATTTGAAAGGTACGTTGAGGCAAGATTCTAAAGAGCCTTGAATGTCAAAATAATGATGTTGGGCTTCTTCAGCTAGCTGGGGCAAGGAAGGCTTACCATGGAAGTTTTCCAAGCAAGGAAGGAACAGAGTAAAAGAGATATTTTAGGAAGATGAATCTGATGTCATGTGCAGAATAGATTGAGACTGTTTAGGAGGACCATCAGAGTAGGTTACATGAATCATAAGGAGACTCTTACTTCTGTGGGCCTCAGTTTCCCCATCTGTAAAAGGAACTGATTGCACTAGGTACTTGCTATCTCTGATCTTCTAATCAATAACACCCGTGGTCTCCCCTCTGCTTAGTCAGCACCTATCACTTGGTTGGTAATTGCCTAGCCCTGACATCAATTCTCAGCTTGGCCTCCTGAGGCATCTGGATCTGGTATTGACCTCTGTAGTGCCTACTCTCCCAAACTGACAATCCTATCTTTTTTTTGGGGGGGGGGGTGGTTAGAGATCCCTCCCTGCATCACAATGGAAGCTTCTATCCAAACGAGTGAGGATTCATTTTATAGGAAGATTTAATGAAACTCTCTTATGGGTGTTTTACTGGAATTCATTTCCATGAATCTGTTGAAAATGAATTATATCACTGCATTTCTCTGGTGAGCTAGCTTTGCCACTATGCTCCCCTCCCTCCTCAAAAAGGCAATTAATCCACAAACAAGGCACTTCAACATAATGTTTCACTTAACCAGTTCTTTCACCCATCCCCCAACTCCTTCCTTCACCAGAGGTTCTATTCCTTTCATAAATGGGCATAGGCAGTTTTACCACAGAGCAGTGAGGCTGATTTGTGTAAGGGATTTATAAGGAGAATGCTAAGTATCAGCTGGAAATTCAGTAATACATGTACTGTTCTAATCTAGATGAAGGAAGGAAAGGGTCAGTGAGCCTTTGTCCAGTTTGGATGGAACGGAGGGTACATGGAAGGTAGTAATGGGAAATATAGGGTAAGGTGGCACTAGGTATCGAGAGCTTGGAATCCAAGCAGAGGAGTTAAAGAGTTATTTGGAGGCATTTGGAAGCCACCAGATACTTCTGAGCAGGATTTTTTCTATGCAAAACAATGACCACAATAACATTTTCTCCTCTGTAGGTTTCTTCTTCTGTGTTTTTTATCCAAACCTTTTGACAGTCTGACAAGCACCAGGAACAGGGACATCAAGAGGGTTAGAGAGTGTGAAAACCACACCAGAACTGCCATGCTCTCAGGAGTGCTCGCTCAGCCAATAGTGTTTCCAAGTAGTAAGGGCACTGGACTTGGAGTCAGGAAGACCGGTTGAAATTCTGCCTCACACAGGTCATAGCTCCATGACCCTGGGCAAATCATTCGACCCCTTTGAACCTCAGTTTCTTCATTTAGAAATGGGGACAATAATAGCACCTACCTCACAGGGTTCTTTTGTGAGTGTTGAGTCGACTTTACAATGCTTCATACATCTTAAAGCACTACATAAAAGCTAGTATTACTATTACTATCATTCTGTAGGAGGCATTAAGCAAATGCTTTCTGAGTGACTGACTGTTAACGTTGGGCTAGTAACACTGAGGACTGGCTAGCTCGCAGGTCCATTTTGAGGAAAGCCCATCACAAAGGTTAAAGCACTTTTTGCTAACATACCATTGGTGCTTAATAAATGCCTGTCTACTTTTTGGCTTGGTGGATAGGCTTGAGGTATTGTCAGCCTCCCTCCTGCTAATTCTTGTGCCTCTCTCTTCCACACTCTCTTCCAGGGGTGATCTTGTTGCTTCTGGATAAGCTGCGAAAGATGAAGTGGGAGCAGATGTGGAGGCTGACGGCAGAGAGAGAGTTGATGAGCATGCTTTCAACCTCATTGGCTGACCAGGTGAGAGTAGACCCATTTCTGGCAAGGAACACTGAGGACATTCCAATGTTTTGCTTTGACGACTGAGTTCTCATGGGCTCATAGGAACTGAGATTTAGAATTGGAAGGTATGTGTGGTACACTGTGAAGACTAGGGCACCAAATGTGGAGTGAAAAGACCTCAGTTAGACTCCCTTCTCTGCCACATGTGACCCATGTGACCTGGAGCATGACACTCAGCCACTCTCAGACTCAGTTTCCATATCTGTAAAATGAAGGAGTTAGACTGAAATACTGGGATTTGAGAGCTAGAGTCGACCTCCGGAGCCCCCACGTCAAGACTCCTCATTTTACACACGAGAAAACTGAGCCAGAGGGAGGTGAAGTGATGCCCAGGAGTTGGGCATTACAACCTAGATGGTCTCTGGGGTCCCTTCTAGCTCTAAATCTAAGGCCCTAAAATTCATCTTTTTTTTAGTTCTATGACCATTTAGGTCTTTTTTTCTTTTAAATATTTTTCAATTACATTTAAAAAACATTGTAACAATTTTTTACAATTTACAAAATTCTTACAAAACTTGAACAATTTCAATTAATTTTTTTTATTTTAAGTTAAAAATTATCTTTGTAATCCAGCCTCAGACACTTACTAGCTAGCTGTGTGACTCTGGACAAGTCACTTAACCCCCATTGCCTCCAAAATAAAATAAATGGATAAATTCTCTTTGTTCCTCCCCCATTGAGAAAGCATTCAATTTGGTATAGGTTATGCATGTGCATTCAGGCAAAACATATTTCCGTATTAGTCATGTTGTGAAAGAAAACACGAATGAAAAAACAAGAAGAATAAAGAAAGTTTTAAAAAAAAAAGGATGCTTTAATCTGCATGGCCATTTAGGTCTTTGCCTGAGATCTTCCAAGGGACATTCCTGGGAGTTTCTTCTTACCATCCCCTTGGTTTTGATTATCTAGGGGTCTTGGACCAGATACAAGTGGTATTAGACTTATGTTGTTGGGCCCCAGAGAGCAGAACATTGGGAAGTTAATGGGAATGGCATAGAGTCAAAGTTTAGTTCAGTATAAAGAGAACTGAATAATCAGTGCTATCCCCAACTTGAATAGACTGGCTGAGACGCTGGGACGATTCCTCCTCTTTGGAGGTCTCTAAGTGGAAACTATGGGAGTATTGGGGGAGTATGTTAAAGAAGGTGTTATTTTGGGGTGTGGATTAGATTGATGGATGCTTAGTTGGCTTCCAACTCTGAAACCACCTGAAACGACCAAGATCACAGCCCCATTCCACCTTAGCAAGTGGTCTCACTGAGGTACTGTAGTTGGAGAAACTCATCCCTTGTTGCATGTCAATGAGTCTCTCCAACCCTAGTGAAAAGGGTTCCCAGCCACCAGGTGCCCACATCCACTACTGGATCCATGCCCAAACATTGAATTTCTCTTGTTCTCAGTTTCTTTGTCTATAAATGAGGGGGTTGGAATAGATGGCCTCCAGCTCTAAATCTATAAACTTTATGAAATGCTCATTTGTTGATATTTATAAGTTGTAATAATAGCATAAATATATATGTTCAAAATCAAATTGGGGGGAAGATTGATAAGTCATTCATAGTCACCATATTTTATTGAATCCCAATGACTTGACTTTGTCTTGGAAATACAGCAGTTTGGACCTTCAGGTTAGAAATGGAAACTTTCTTCATCTATCTAAGACTCTGGAAGCATGTAATTCACCTTCTGGTGCTGTCTGTTAGGAATTATTTAATGAACTTGGCCATATGCTTGTGTCTCAGGGAAAAGCCCCAAAGAGTTAAAACTTTCCTTGATATGTCTGAACTCAATCTCTAAATGGGAAATGTGCACTCCCAGCTCCCTGTCCTTGTGGAATCCTTGGCATATTTATCACACAACACCCAGAAAGCCCCAGGAATTGCTGCAGAAACTACTTCTGCAGTTTGTCAGAGCAGTTGGGTAAGGGGCCCAACTTTTCATAATGTCATCTCTTCAGTGAGCTGGGCTCTCCATGTGAAGCCCATCCAGTAACCCAAAGAGGGGAAAGGAGGTATGTGATACTTTGCCTCATATAAAGAAAGGCTCAAAGAGAGCCTACCTTTTTCCCTAATCATTTTTTTAAAAAATACACTCCGTGTATGCTCCAAGACTCCTTTGAACCATTCATATCTCTTCAGTGAATCAATTAGCAATCATTTATTTAATGCCTACCATGTGCCAGGCACCATGTTAAGTGCTAGGAATACAAAAACAAAGAACAAATACTCCCTCTTCTCAGGGAGCTTAAATAGTGACAGGGGATACGAGAAGCCTATACACAATTATATACAGAATAGGAATTTTTCAGGCCCATTTCCCAAGATGAAAGGGGAGCTCAGTAACCTATTAAGGCCACTTTTTCTTCATTTAGCACTGTTCTATTCCTGGTTCTCAGATTTTCTCATGAGGACAGAGACTCAGAATTAGACCATTTTAGAGATCTAGCCTGTGGCTGCCTCAGAAAGGTTTTATCATTATCATCATGGTCTTGGCCTGATGTTAGGAGACTGACCCCCAACCAATGGGTCTGTATCAAGACCAGCTGTAATTTATAAGATATCAGTGCGTCTCTCTCCCATAGACACCTGGGGCATCACACACCACCTTGGGTCAGCTTCCCAGGGGTTAATGTCCCAGAGGAGGGACATAGAAACAAACCCAAGGGTATGTCCACAGGAAAATACCTCAGTGCAACCAAACCCTTCCCTAAACCCTCAAAACTCATCAGAGGCTAAGATGCATTCTTGACAAGGCTTCAAATAAAAAAAAACACAGAAGCAAAACTCTGCTTCTCTTCTTCCATAAACCCACCACTATATTTTATTCCTTTGCAGCTCAGCTGGAGCCCATTAGAAGCTGCTCCATATAACAGGCTGACAGACTTACATCTCCCTGCTCCCACTGTCTCCCTGCTAACGCTGTTCCAGAAACTAGCAAGAGAAGTGAGAGGGAATATAGCATAGTGGAGACAGCACCGTACTCTGACTCAAGTAGACCAGGCTTCAGGGCTACCCCAGACGTTCACTGGGCCAGTCATTAAACCTCTCTGCCTCAGTTTCCTCATTTGTAAAATGAAGGGGCTGAACTAAATGAAACTGAGGTCCTTTCCAACTCTAAAACTATGAGCCTGTAAAGTCACTTGATGTCTCAATTATAAACTCTCTGATGACTGAGACTATTTTTTTTTTGCTTTTCTTTGTATGCTCAGCATATAGCACAATGCCTCACACATAGTAAGTCCTTAATACATAAAAACTCAATTTCCTTATCTATAAAATGAGGGGGTTGAACTAGATGAATCTTAGGTCTCATTCAACTCAAAATTGATGATCCTGATTTGACCCCTCTGGACCTCAGTTATCTCATCTGAGAAATGGGGATTGGATATGATGGCCTGTACTGTCCCTTTTAGTTCTAAATCTGTGATCCAAAGTCTGTTCTGGTGAGACGCAGTGATGAGGTGGCTGAAATCATGGGCATTGACTAACTGTTGGCCTGGTTGTGTCTCCTAGGATATTTTCAATGCTGTCATCAAACAGAATCCGTTTCTCGTATACCAGCTCCCCTGCTTCTGGAATGTCCAGCTGTCTGACCACACTCGCTCTGAGCAGTGTTACCGGGATGTGTCTGACTTAAAGGTAGGGTGACTGTGGACCACGGACCATGCAAAGACAATTGCTCCTTCTCTCCCTTCTCCAAACATTTCCCTGCAGGTAGAATGGAATGTTCTCTAGTGATAAGGCAAAGGAAGATAGGAGAAGGCCTTCAATGGGAATAAGTGCACACATCTCTGTGGAGCTGTAAGAGGGAGAAATCTGCTTTTCTTGCACTTTTTTTGTCATTCAGGAAACTTGAGACCTTCTACTATCCCAGTCTAGCTCATGAGAGCTAGGACAGCAAGGCCTTCTTTCCAACAATGCTTCTTACTGTTTCTGCTCACAGGTCTGCCAAGTGCCTTCTTATTCTCCTCCTTGAGACCCCTAGAAAGGAGATGAACACACACACACACACACACACACACACACACACTCAGAAACCTTCTACTTACTGAGGAAGAACACTGGTTACAAAGGACTCACATAACAGGAACATGGAGATCAGACAGACAGATAGAGAGACAGATGATGGATAGATAGATAGAGATGAATGATAAAGACAGGTAGATATCTAGATAGATAGAGCTACAGATTGGCACAATTCAAACTCAGTTCTTTCTAATTCTAAGTCCAGATAGACAGGTTGATGGCAGGCAGGGAGGAGGAAGGAGGATGGTAGGGACAGAGAGAGAGAGGGGGTAAGGGGAGTGGGAGAGAGAGAGAGACAGAGAGAGAGAGAGAGAGAGAGAGACAGAGAGACAGAGAGACAGAGAGAGAGAAATGAGAACATATTAAGCATTCCCAATCTACCAGGCACTATGCTAAATGCTGGTAATTAAAAAAAAAGCTAGCAAGCCAATCTGTATTTGTAACTATCAAAGGAGATTCAATCAATTAGTCTATAATTAAATCACCCTTCACATTCCAATATGGTACTGGAAAAGAGTACTGGACAGAAATTCATAATACTTGAGTTCAAATCCCCCTCTACTGGTGTGTGACCTTGGTCCAGTCACTACCTCTCTGGTCTTTAGTTTTCTTACCTGTAAATGAAAAGTTGGGACCAGGTGAACTCTAAAGTCCCTTTCAACTCTTACTTCTATGACCTATGACCCACTGATCTGTTGTGTAATTTGAGAGCTAGGAGAGAGACCATCTAGTCAAACCTCCAAACTTGACAGGTGCAAAAACAGAGGCCAGTGAAGGTGAAGTCACTTCACCGAGGTCACTAAGATAGTAAATGGAAGATTAGGATTCAAACCCAGGGTCCCCCAACTCCAGATTCAGTGCTCTCTCTCACTGTACCACCATGTCTCACTAATGTCTCATGAATGCCCTTAGGCTGGGCAACTGAATGCCCCATCCCCAAACCTCACACAATATCAGGTTTTGCTACTCTCCCACTTCCTATCAAGGGTTCAACGCTATTTGGAAAGTATCCAAGAGGGCCCCTGCAGACAAAATTCATTAGCCTTAGCAATTAAGTGAGAAAATGAGGAGAGGGGAAAGGAAGATACGAAAAGGGCTTATTATATCTCCTGGTATCAAGGCTTCTGGGGTCTTATCTCCATGGACCTTATGATGATTTTCAACCCCTACATTGAAATGTTTTATAAAAACCCTGTGATTATATCAGCACCCCTGGCCCACTGACAGTGTCCACAGCAGATTGTACAGAAATCTCAACAGTGACCCAAACTAAAGGAGCCAGGGGTGCCTGATTCACATCTAGGCTCTGGGAAGGAAAGGGTGGCATACCAGGATACCAACGAGGGGTCTGCTGGTAAATGTTTAACAACCAGCTCTCCTAAAAGACAGGCTACACTTGTACATTTAATTGGCATAATTGACATTTTCTCCATCACTTTCTTAAGTCTAAACAACAACAACAACAACAAACCCTGATCTGTTATGTTTGCTGATTTGTGAGGTACAAATGCTCACACTGCAGATTTAATAATCAAATGATTGCCAGTTTAAGCTGGCTCCATCATACTCTTGAATGGAACCTAACCAAGGATGAATGGAAAGAAACAAGAGATTTTAGAAATAGATGTAAAGAGAATCTGGGGTTTGAAGTCTTAGAAATGGAATGTTAAAAGGCTTGGTGGCATCATCTCATCTCATAGGAACTTGAAGAAAGAACTCTGGATTTCAGAGTTAAAGGTCTTGAATTCAAATCCCACATCTGCTCCTGACTAAATTGTGTGTCCCTTCCCCCTTCCTAGATCTCTATTCCCTGCTCTATGAAATGATGGGTTGGACTAGATAAGCTCTTTTTTTCTTTTTTTAGTTTATTATTTTTATTTTTCCAGTAACAAGTTTTTTTTCTAATTAATCTGTTCCTCTCACTATTCCCACCTTTTCCACTCAATAAATTTTTAAAAACAAACCCAAACTTAATGCAAAGATGCTTAATTGGGCAAAACAAATTCGCATATTAGTCATATCCACTAGTGTATGGCTCTTTCTGCTTCTTAAGTTCATCTTCCCTCCCATGATTTAGCATTGCATTGATCAGAGGTCAGCAGTCTTTTGAAGCTGTTCTTTTGTTTGTTTGTTTGTTTTGCAGTGTGTGTGTGTGTGTGTGTGTGTCTGTGTCTGTGTCTGTGTCTATCTGGCTAATGTGCCCACCATTATTTTAGCGGTTCTCTCGGCTCTGCTCAATCTGCTCCTCATTAGTTCATAGAGGTCTTCTAGTTTCCTCTGAGATTGGTAACTGCTCAGGCACTTTCCCACTCCAGATCCATGATCCTGTAAATCTTATCTTGTTTTTAAGCAAGGCCCTAGATCATGCAAATGACTACAAAACTCACTGGAAAAATTCCTTTCACTGGGGTTCTTACTGAGGCAAGAAAACAGCAGCAGGGAGGTTTAGAAAACTATTCAAAAGAACTGGAGATATTTTATCAAAAGAGAAGACTTGGCAGAACATGATAGCTTTCTCTGAGTATACTAAGGGCTGCCACATGAAGAAGGAACTTAGCTCCCTTTTGACCCCAGAGGGCCAAACCAGAAGCAATGGGTGGAAACTGCAAAGTGCACAATTTAGACTTGAGGCGAGGAAAAACTTCCGATTATTAAAACTTCCTCACAGTGGAATAAGCTGCCTGGGTTCCTGCTCCTGGAAGGTCTTCAAGGAAGGGTTCCCTAACCCCTTGTTAAATGTGTCATAATGGGGCTATATTTTGTGTATGGGTTAGATTAAATGAAAGTAGCTAGGTATGTATGGGACAGCACCTGGCCTGGAATCAGGAAGACCTGAGTTCAAATCTGGCTTCAGACACTTACTATCTGTGTGGCCCTAGGCAAGTCACTTAACCATTGTCACAAAGAGTTAGATATGACTGAAAATGATAAACAACAAGTAATGCAACCTTTGGCAGCTCACTTAACCCTATTTGCCTCAGTTTCCTCATCTATAAAATGAACCGGAGGAAGAAATTGCAAATCACTCGAGCAACTCTGCCAAGAAATCCCCAAATGGGGTCACAAAGAGTCAGACACAATTGAAATGACTGAACAACAATGATACATTAAATGGACTCTGAGGTCCATTTCAACCTTAAAATTCTGTGCTTCTCTGAAAAATAAAACTAAAGTCCATATGAAAATTGTTGTATTCTCTTATAGCGAATCAAAAGGAGAAACCCTTATCAGGTTGGAAATTTTTTTAAGACAACAATATTTCTATAACTTCTGAGGAAAACATGGAAACATGTGGTCTATCACAGCCAACCATACTGCAATGAAAAATGAGGCAAGGAAACCCCCTGGAGAGTAGGGCATGAGAGTGACGAATTGAGAGCTTGATTTGGGGAACATTAAAGACTTGAAGTAGACAATAGTTCTGGTTGAAGAGATCAAAAATCCAGCCTGACCTCCCAGGTGTGCTTCTATTTACCTTGGGCCTAATAAAAAAACACATTTCTTTAAGCCCAGGAGGCTGTGACCAGTTTGTTTCATCTTTGGTGTCCTTAGGTGAGCTCCGAGGATTTCATCATCCCGATGCCTAAGGCTGTGGCCAGTCAAGTCAAAGGCTCATGGTTTGGCATTGTGATGCTGCCTCCTGATGATAGAGCAGCAAACCTCTCTTATGTGACTACTCTCTCATTCTGGTCACTTTGTCAGCAGTCAACAAGCCCTACCATATGCCAGGCACTATACTAAGTACTGGAAGTCCAATACAAAGTGTTCTCAGAGCAGAGTTCTCAAACCTTTATGCAAATATAATTCAAAGCTTTCGATCCTGAATAGCATTAAGGAGAGGTATGCAGAATGAAGGGAAGAGAGCAAGCATATATTAAGCACCTACTAAGTGCCAGGCACTGCACTGATATTACTTCATATCAATTCTGAATTAGGCAGAGAATTAGCTAATTATACTGTCATCCTCTTCCTGATCAAAAAATTATCTAGAGTATTGCATCCAGTGCCATGAGCCATGTTTCAGGAGAGGAATTGACAGATTGGGGCCCTACTAGCAAAGGGCAACCAGGATGGTAAAGGGTCTCAAGTTCACAACATTTAAGGACTCATTCCAGTAATTGGTCACATTTGCCCTGAAAAAAAAAATGAAGACAGACACATGAGTGTAGTACAGCTATCTCTATGCATCTAAAGAACTGTCCTGTGAAAAAAGGGTGCTAGACTTGTTTTGCTTGGCCCCGAGGATGGAAGTAGGAATAATGAATGGGATTTTCCAGATTTAGATTTGTGTAATATAAGAAGAAAAAATCACTGCCTCCCTAGCATTCTGAGCTACCCCAAAGTGAAATGGACTGCGTTGGGAAGTGATTGTCTCCCTTACTTGAAATCTCCCACTGGAATGACCAGTTGTTGGGAATCTTAGGGAGGGTGTTGTTGTTTGTACCTGGGTTTGACTAGGTGACCTGGTAGGAGCTCTTCCAACTTGAGGATCCTCTTCATCCTTTGCTTACAGGTCCTTTTTAAAGTCTTAGTTTCTAACCTTCCTTTGTTGTTCCCTGTTCTACTTCCCTTCACCAGATCATTCCTTTAGCCCCTTGCCAGAACTTTCTAAA